CCTGGAAATGCAGTCATATTCAATAGGGATGGATCGATCGCCAGGGGAGTGACAGGGAAGGATAATGTGTTTTTTTCCTCTCTGAACCCACAGAATCGTTTCCCAAACGAGCTTTGCATTGCGGTGATTGCAGACTTGAAATATTCCAAATTTATCGTATCATGACTTTGTTTGAACTCTCTCAAAGAGGGAAAGTGAGACAGTGTACCTCTCTGGAAATCTTTGACAAACACTGTCAACTTGCGCTCGAATGCCAAAACCTCCTCCAGCATGTGCAGGGCTGTGCCTCCTTTCCCCTGAAGGGTTGTATTTAGCGTGTTTAGATGGGCTGTCATGGCTACCATAAAATGTAATTTTTCCAGCCACTCTGGCTGTTCCAGCTCAGCAAAGGTAAGCTCTTTGCTGGCCAGGAAGGTTTTTACTTCTTCCAAACATGTGACAAAGCGTTTTAGCACCTCGCCTCTGGACAACCACCGGACCTTGTTGTGGAGCAGGAGGTCAGAATATGTGCTTTCCACCTCATCCAATAGCAAACGAAACTGGTGGTGGTTTAAACCCTTTGCCATTATCTTATTAACAATCTGAATGACCACATCCATCACTTTTGTGCATTCGGGGGGAAATGTTTGAGCACACAATGCCTCTTGGTGCAGGATGCAATGAAATGACAGCAGCGTTCTACCCAGTGCCTTCTGCAGTAGAGCCACAAAGCCCTTCTGTGCTCCTCTCATGCTCGGTGCCCCATCAGTAGCCACTGAGACCAGGTGGTTGGTGTTTATTTTTTTAGCACTTAAAAAGTCCAGGACAGCCTTACAGATATCCTCACCCCTTGTTTGGTCTTTTAGTGGTATCAGCTCAATCAGTTCTTCCTGTGGCCCAAAAGAGTTCACATATCGGCAGAACAGCGCTATTTGTTCAATATCACCTTTATCTTTGGACTCATCACAGGCGATGGAGTACGCCACAGCTGAATTAATGTCTTGAATTTGCTGTTTGCTAATGTTTTCTGCCATTTTTAGGGTTCTGTCTTTAACAGTCTTCGCAGACAGAGGCATGTCTTTGATTTTCTGCACAATTTCATTCTTGTTTTTGAAGTCCATGTATAGATGTTCTGAAATCTTAATGAATGCTTCTTTTATATACTCTCCATCTGTGAACGGCTTCCCATGCTTGACTATTTCCTGAGTGGCTACAAAACTAGCATATGTTGTGGAATTTGCAGACTTCACCCAATTCTTGAAATTATTTTTGCTCCTGTCAACCTTCCTCATAAGTTCTGCAATGGCTTTTCGTCTCTCATCTCCATCTGGATATTTTTCAGCAAAGGCTGTGTGTTTATTCTGGAAATGTCTTGCAATATTTGACTTTTTGTTGTTTGCAAATTTCTCACCACATATTAAGCATACTGGTAAACCAGTCTTGTTAGTAGAGAATGCAAATGATTCTGTCCATGTATCATTAAACATTCTGTTTTCTTCAGAAATTTTTCTTTTCTTGCCTTTATCCATGGCTGGCCTACCGGGGGTCCAAAACAGGGACGTAATTAGAAATCAGAGGGCCCCATAGCAAAATTTGCTATGCCCAATAATCAATGCCCCAAAATGCCATAGAAAATTAATCAGGGCCCCAGTGTACCATAAATCATAATCAGTGCCTGATGTAAATAATAATTAATAATGAGGGCCCAATGTCATCCTCGTCATTATAAAAATACCTTTTTTGACACTTTTTTATTATTTCTTTGTTTGACCCCTCAGAATTACTCCTCCTCATAGAAATAAACGTTAAATTAACAAGTTACCTTTTTTTGAGTGTGTATTCTTCACTCCCCTTCAAAACAGTGACCAGCGTATATGCCCCCTTTCAATGCAGCCTGCTTACAAAGGCGGGACGACAAAGACCAGCAAGAAGCTGTTGCATAACGTTCCCCAAGGAAAGCGTTAGCTATTCACCAAACTTTCCCCTGCTTAAGTTTACAAAGGGGCTTCAAGCAACTAAAAAGGGGCTTCAGGCAACTAACTCCCACGTGGAATTGCCTATAGTAAGATGGCGGCCGCCTCAGAAGACCACGTGGGCAGATAAGATGGCTGCCGGGACGATCCGGTTATCCAGCAACAGCACAGCTGCTTCCGACGCTTTTAGAGCCTCAACCTTCCGTGTTAAAGAAAGCAGCCCACAAAGCAAGCGTTGGAGCGCCGAAGCCACCTCACCCCCACAAGGAGAATGCTGCGCGTGTGACCAAATAGCGAGGACTTACGTTGCTAGAGACAAGCCCCGACGCTACCACAAGCCTCCCTCTCTTCACGCCGCCCAGCCTCCCAAGAAAAAACCCCCACTTCAAACGGTCACAAAGCACAAATTCCACGCGACCGCGACTTGATCCGCCCACAACCTGATCCGCCAGGCGCGCCGAGTCCTCCCCAGGAAAGGTAAAATGCGGCGATGAGCTTGCGTAGCGCGCTGGGCTCCCAGCAACGAATCGACTTGGATAGGCAGCAAGCAATCCAAATGGAGAGGTTTTCGGCGCGATCAAGGTGCCCCCGGTAGATAAGGGAGTAATCCACTCATAAGCGGCTTTTTGGGTGTTTCCGCCCAGAAAATGCGCCTCCTCCCCTCGCCTCCGCCCCGGAGCCGCGGCAAAGGTGTTAAAGAGCCGCATGCGGCTCCGGAGCCACAGGTTGCCAACCCCTGCTCTTGGCTGAGTTTGACATCCAACAAATATCCGGGTAATTGAAGTCCCCCATTACTACTATCTCCCTTCCTTTTGCATGCTTGGCCATCTGTTCCAGGAAGGCATCATCTATGTCCCCCGTTTGGCTTGGGGATCTATAGTAAACTCCCACAATGAGGTCACTGTTATTCTTCTCTCCCTTAATTTTGACCCAAATGCTCTCACTTTGGCTTTGAGGTTCTAAATCTTGGATCTCTTCACAGGTATACACATCCCTGACATATAACGCCACTCCTCCTCCTTTCTTGTCTGGTCTGTTTCTCTGAAATAGATTGTATCCCCCCATTATTACATTCCAATTGTGGGACTTATCCCACCAGGTTTCAGTGATGCCTATTATGTCATATTTAGTTTGCTGTACCAAGAGCTCAAGCTCATCTTGTTTATTTCCCATGCTTTGCGCATTAGTGTACAGACATTGAAGTCCATTAATCATTCCCCCGTGACTCTTATTTAAGGATTTTTTCCTCCCACCACTAGGTCTGTGTGCTGTTTGCTCCATTTGGTCTATGACATTTGGATGATCATCTTCATCAATGGTGCTCCTGAAGGTAGGTAGACTCCTACCTTCAGGAGCACTGTCTCCCTCCCCCACATTAGTCAGTTTAAAGCCCTCCTGATGAGGTTTCTGAGATTTTTGGCAAAAACATTTCTCCCAACCGTTGTGAGGTGCAGCCCATCGCTTGCCAGAAGTCCATCTTCAAGAAACTGCAGTCCGTGATCTAAGAATCCAAACCGTTCCTGTTTACACCATTTGCGAAGCCAGCTGTTCACTTCCACTATTTTCCCTCTCTCCCTGGGCCACGTCGTTCAACTGGGAGGACAGATGAGATGACAATTTGTGCATTCAATTGCTTCAATTTCCTGCCCAGAGCCTTGTAGTCTCTTTTGATCTTCTGGAGGCTATTGCTTGCAGTGTCATTGGTTCCCACATGAACCAAGAGGAAGGGGTATTTGTCAGTGGGTTTTATCATTCCTTGCAGTCGTTCAGTTACATCTTGGATCTTAGCCCCGGGGAGACAGCACACTTCCCGAGACATCTTGTCAGGCCCACAGATCACTGCTTCTGTTCCCCTCAGTAGGGAATCCCCTTTCACCACTACACGCCTCCTCTTAGGTTTGGTCGGGGTTCTTCCGTGAGCTGTCCATTCCATGGTCGCCTGCACATTCCCTGAGGACTGACTTTGCTGCTCGTCTTCATATACCTGATCAACTGTAATGAGGGAGAGATCCTCAAATGGAGTCTGCTCTTCGTCTTCCATGCTAGGGGAGAGGACCTCAAAGCGATTGTGTATTTCTAAACAATCAGAGCGAACCCTGGGCCTCCTACTTCTTTGAGTCACGTTTCTCCATATATCTGGCTCCTGTGTTGGTGAACTAGCCTCCTTCTCAGGGGAGTCCCCTGTCTCCTCCTTGGTGGAGACGGTGTGCTCTGTTGCTTCCAAGAAGAGCTCCAGCTCTCTAATTCTTTGGAGCGTAGCTACACGTTCCTCCAGTTGCTGGACTTAAGAGACTGTCTCTTTAGGTTCGATGCAGAAAGGGATCTAACCATGATTGCTTCTACTAAGAGCTCACCATGGTTCCCACTTAGCAAAATGGAGCATGCCCGAGCCAGATACCTGACAAAGCTTCCACTTGCCGTACTAAGAATCGCTTTTACATAACTACGATTCCAATTGATGCCCTCGGCAGTGTTGGATGGGCGGTACAGCAAATTACATTACGAAGAGAGACTCTATCTGTGTGGACAACCTTGCATTGAGGACCTGTGCATTTATTGCAGTGCCCGTTATACATAGACACAAGAGACCGATTTATAAAACCCCTGATTACGAGTGGAACACATTTGAATAGGGTGGAAAGGGTGAAATGGCTGCTGAACGACACCGATGACTTTATTACTTATAAAGTAGCACTCTATGTGCTGGCAGCTAAGAAGATCAGGAGGAAGGAACTAGACAAAATAGTGGTCAACCGCAAAGGGGATTCGGATATTTAATTTGGCACATCTTACCTGAGAATCTTCTGCTATTCTATTCTATTTAATACAACAAATAATTTTAGTAGCCGTGACCGTGGTTTTATTGTATGTCTGTGCCTGATTATTTTTATGGTTATTGTTGTTTTCTTGTTTTTTCTTTTTGTTCACCTTCTGAATGATGCCATGGCCTATGGCTAGTGCAATAAAAAGTTTAATTGGAATAATTGGAGTGAGGTGAGTTTGGATGAGTTCACCCTTCTCTACTCCATATCTGCCTTAGGGGTTGTTGTTATTGTGGCACAATGGATCAGTATGTCTGGCTATTATTAACCAGAAAGCTGGGGGTTCAAGCCCCCCTGGAGACGACTGTGGGCAGGATTCCTGCATTGCAGGGGGTTGCACTAGATGAGCCTTGGGTCCCTTCCAGCTATATGATTCTATGAGTCTCATGTTGAATGGGAAAGCTAATTCTATAACATTAAGATAAAGTTAGTGATAACGACATTATACGTTAATGTCAGGGGTTCAGAGAGAGAGGCACAGGGTAGGCAGGAGATGGAGAGCGAAGGGGAGGAATTCCAAGCCAGCGAGGAAGAGGACGACAATGACTCAAGGGATTCCATGAGTCTTTCCAGCGAATCAGAGGATTCCCAGAAGGGGCGCCGGTGGTCAGGGCCAGGGAGCCCCAGGGGGGAAATGTCAGGAGCAGGGTGCCAGCGGAGGATCCCAAAGTGGCAGCTGGGCGTCAGGACCAGCCTCCCCACCAAAGTGCAGCGAAGGGGGTGGAGTTTCCAGTGTGTCAGAGGAAGGAGCTCCAGCAGCAGAGAGAGGAGGGGGGTCAGAGCAAGCAGCCCTCCCGGAGGGGAGGGGAGCAGTGAAGGGAGCAGTGTAACTGTCAAAAGGAAAGTCAGAGGTTTGGCGCGCGCGCCTAGTTCAAATGTAGAGGCGCGCGGAAGTGCAGGGAGCCCGGAGGAGGGGCCAGGTCCCAAAGCCCGCAGGAGGGGGAGCAGCAGTCTGATTCCGCGTCAGAGGAATCCAGAAGGGGGCAAACCCCAGGGGGCAGAAAGACCCTGCGGAAAAGGAAGGAGAGAAAGAGGTGGAGCAGCGCAAGTCTCTTAAATTGGTGCAGAGGAGGGACTGACTCAGACGGGACTTCGGCGGTCTAGCGTAAGAGACGTAAGGCTGCGCGCCTAAGATGTCAAGCAAACCATGAACTGCAATAAACACCTTTGTATTCAAGAAGACGTAGGCGTTGGTCTTTTGTGAGCTAAGACTTGAGGCAGCCTTGACAGTAAGTCCCGTCTCAGAAGCAAAAAATTTTTTTTTGCACAGCTCACGAAGTTTGGCAGCAATGACTACTGAGGAGCAGATAGCGTCCCTGCAAAACGCAGTCACCGAGCTCTCCGCTGCCGTCGTGGTTTCTCAGAAGACAGTTGCAGAAGCAGAAGCGCGATGCCAGGATCTGCAAGCCAGGTGGGATCGGGCGTGCAGAGAGGGGTTCCCGGGGTCCAGATCAGAGGGAATCGGACTGGGACGAAGTGGGCAATTTAGTAGCCCACTTCGATGGGAACCTGAAGCATTATCCCAATTTCAGAGCAGACGTCGTATATGCACTGCATTTACTTCGAAAGGACTTCAAGGATGAGGAGGAAAAAGTGGGGTTCATTGTGTCCCATTTGCATGGGGAAGCAAGGACTTGGTTACGCAATTTATGGCGCGAAGATGGTCTTGCACGCAGGGACTCTGATGAATTTCTCAAAGCCATGGACGCTTGCTTCCAATCTACTGTTGACGTTGATGTGGCACGTCAGGAGATGCATGGATTGCGGCAGGGCAAGGCTACAGTGCGTCAGTACCATTCTCGCTTTTTTGCATTGCTGAATGTGCTGGGCTGGGAAAAGGACTCCCTGGCAGTAAGGGACTTGTTTTGGGAAGGGCTACACGGCTCAGTGAAAGATGAGCTGGCTAGGGAGACAGACCTCAAACCCTAGCAGACGTCGTGCAGAGGGCACTCACGATAGGGGTGCGCCAAGAAGACCGCCCTTGGCACAGGGAGGAGGGGCGTCACGTCCGCCCACCAGCTAGAGCGCTTCCTTTTCCTTCTAGGGACTTGGAACGTTCACGCCTTTCGCCTGTCCTGGCAGAGGGGAAGAACAGATGGAACTGGGTGGTGCAAAGGCTCAGACAGCTGCCGGAGCCTCAGCGTCAGGAGCAGCCAAGCGAAGCCTCCTAGAGGGACCAGGAAGTGTTACATCTGTGACAGTGCACGGCACATGGCTAAAGAGTGTCCCCAGAGGCTCCAGAAGCACACTGCAGCCTTAGCAACAGTAACGGGAAGCTTTCCAAGGGGAGCAGTTTCAGGGAAACGAGAATGCCTGGTTGGAGGGAGAGACGCTGGGGCTCCACCAGGCACGTCAATGAAGCAGTCCCCAGCGCTTTGCAGCCTACAGACCCCTTACCACCTAAGCCAGTGGTGCAGCTCACTGCTACTCTCCAGCTGCCTAATGGACTCACCCTGGAAGTCCCCATTACGATTGACTCAGGGAGCAACGCTGACTTCGTGGGGGTGCAGTTCGTCAAGCAGCATCGCATAGCGCTACTACCAGCCACGCTGCCTCTGAATGTGGTCACTGTAGATGGCAGGAAGTTGCTGGGTGGGCAAGTGGTACAACAGACGCCATCCATGCTGCTGAAAATTGGGAATCATCGCGAGGTCATCAGTTTCAATGTCACCCAACTGTCAGACACGCCCATAGTGCTAGGCATGAGTTGGCTGGATAGACACAGTCCATCCTTGGCGTGGTACCAGCGGCAGCTCACCTTTGGCTCGTCCTACTGTGCACAACATTGCATCCAGATTGGTGAGGACGAGGAGGGCCGGGAGGAAGGGCAACAGCTGCATCTAGGCATGGTGCAGGCAGTGCCCCACAAATACAAGGGATTTTTGGAGGTCTTCTGCGAGAAGGAAGCTGACCAATTACCACCCCACAGGCCCTACGACTGTGCAATTGACCTCTTACCAGGGGCAACGCTACCGACTGCGAAGCTGTATTCCATGTCTGAAGATGAGATGCAGGAGCTCAGGGAGTTCATAGATCACAATTTGAAGCGGGGATTCATCCGAGAATCCAAGGCAGTGGGGGGCAGTCCTGTGTTTTTTGTGAAGAAGAAGGACACGCCCAAAAACGACTCATTGTGGACTATAGGGCCATAAACTCGATGTCAGAGCTGGCTCCAGGTCCCAGCTCACAGAGGACCAACGCTAGCCGGCAGTAATGTACAAAAGTCTTTATTGAAGTACAGTTTCCATTTTCAAGCCGCAGCGCCCCAGCTCTACGTCTAGGGGTTAGATCGGCGAAGCTCCATCTGAGTCTCCGCCCCCTGTACACCAGTTTAAGATTCTAGCCTTACTCCACCTCTTACGTCTCTCCTTTCTCCTCTGGGTCCTGCTACCCCCCGGGGTCCCTTCCTTCCTGGATTCTTCTGACGCTGACCCCCCTGACTCCTCCCCCTCTTTTCGGCGGGCTTTGGGACCTGGCTCCCTATCCGGGCTGCCAACTGCGCCGCCCGCCTGTACATTTGAACTTGGCGCGCGCGCCCAGCCTTCAACCTTCCTCTCGACCGTTTCCTCGCTCCCCGATGGAGGCGTGGCCAATCCTGACTCATGTCCTCCCACTGGCAGTGCGCCGCCTGATCCCGATGCCTGGGACCCCTCCCCTACTGCACTCTGGTGTGGACGCTGGTCCTGATTTCCAACTGCTGCTCTCTGAGTCCCCTCTGGCCCCTTCTTCCTGAGGTGTCCCCTCGGCACCCCCTTGCTCTGACCAAGGGAGCCCCTTTCTGTGAATCTTCCGATTCGCTGGAAAGACTCAGAGACCTCGGACCGCTGTCATTGCTAACATTTCCTTCGGACTCCTCCACCTCGCTCTCTATTTCCTCCCTTTCCTGTGCCTCTGCTCCTGAACCCCTGACATCCATCCCCCCCCTCGAAGCCCCCCCTTCCCCCTCCCCTCCTTCAGGTGTGGGTACTGGGTGCTCCGTCGTTGTGGGGGTGAGTGCCGGATACAGTTCGTCCCCCGTGGCGTGCATCCAGCCGGATAAGTCCGGCTCGTCCTCCGTGCTCTCGCCGACCTCAATTTCCTCTGCTTCCATCTCTTTGCCGCCGTGCTCGAACCCAAGGTCCTCCCCAACACGTCCATGTCCGTCTCTCCCCGGTCTCCTCCGGGGACGTTGCCTGCCAAGGACCCCCCAGCCACTTCCTGCGCCACTGCTCCTCTGGTCGATTGTCCCACCAATAGGAACGGTCTGAGGCAGACCCCGAGGGTGATCCCTCCGGGGAACGTGTTTCTAGTGCCGGTTCCTCGTCCGAGGTGAACCCCTGGAATGTGCTAGCTGAAAATGTGGGTGTGAAAAGCCAGTCGTCGAAATACTCGGCTGGCATGGGCCTGTGTGGGAAAAGGGCATGAAACTCGTCCTTGAGAAAAGGTTCGTCCAAGGCATGGTCTGGCACCCAACTGTTGGCGCTGGCCGTGTAACCATCTCTGGCTATCAGATATTCTACTCACTCTTCCCCCATCTCGAGTCTAAAATCTCTGTGACTTCGTTGACGGGTTCCCGCCTTGGCGACCCCCTTGTGGGCGTTTCCCTGAACGGGTCTGGTGCCGTTCCTGGCTCCTGAAATCTATGAGGTGCTTTGTAGGGCGTGAGCACTGATCTATGGAAAACTGGGTGCATTCTGGATCCCTCCGGCAGTGTCAACCGGAAGGCCACTGGATTGACCTGTGCCTCGACTTGGTAGGGTCCTAGCTGCTTATGCCCTAGCTTCTTCTTCGCTAACGATCTGGCCGGCACTGCCTGGGCTGCTAACCAAACCCAGTCTCCCACCTGTATGTCTTCCCCAACCCTTCTGTGCTTGTCAGCCTGCAGTTTGTATGCGTGCTTTGCTAGTTCTAACTGCCTCCGAAGCTGTTCGTGAACCTCCTGCAACTCTGATGCTAAGGCTTCCGCTGCCTGTGGCTCCCACTCCCCCGCTCTCGCTAGTCCCGGGAAGGTTCTGGGATGCCTCCCGTTGTTGGCGAAGAACGGTGTCACCCCCGTGGACACGTGCTTCGTGTTGTTGTAGGCGAACTCAGCGAGCGGCAGGTAGTCCACCCATGTTGCCGGCTGCTGATTTGCGTAGCATCGCAGGTACTGCTGCATGATGGCGTTGACTCGCTCCGCTTGTCCGTTCGTCTGCGGGTGTCTCGCCGACGCTAGGTTGATCTTGACGTTCAGGAAACCCATCAGCTTCTGCCAGAAGTTCGAGATGAACTGTCGCCCCGGTCGGACAGGATAGACCGTGGCAGACCGTGAACCCTGAACACGTGGTCTATGAACAGTTTGGCGGTCTGTTCCGCCGTGGCCACCTTCGCGCACGGAATGAAGTGGGCCATTTTGGTGAACATGTCCACCACCACTAGCACTGCCGTCTTGCCCCTCGAGCTGGGTAGATCCGTGACAAAGTCCAGGGCCACCCTCTCCCACGGTTCGAGCGGTGTCTGCAGCGGTTCGAGCAGTCCCGCCGGCGGTTTGTGCACTGACTTGGCCCTTTGGCAGGTGTCGCACCTCGAGACGTAATCCGCGACTTCCCCCGCATCTTGGGCCACCAAAAATCTCTGGCTACTAATTCTACCGTCTTCTCTTTGCCAAAGTGCCCGGCGGTGGGTGCGTCGTGCAACTGCTGCAGTACTTTCGCGCGGAGGTCGTCTCCCGGTACGTAGAGGGCCCCTCTGCGGATGAGCAATCCGTCGCGTATCTGGAACTCGTCGTCCTCCGCCGTGCCCCTTTGCACCTCTGCCATCTTTGCTTGCGCGAAGGGGTCCTCCTGCAGTGCTCGACGTACAGCATCCAGGTCCACGGTTGCTGAAGCGCACGCCCACGCTTCGGTGCGAAAATGTGCTTGGCCGCTGCTGGTGCCGCCTCCTCGAGGTATTGCGGCTTTCTGGACAGTGCATCCGCCATGATGTTGTTGTCGCCTGGGATGTACTCTATCCTGAAGTCGAAATCCGCAAAGAACTCCGCCCATCGTATGTGCCTCTGGTTCAGGAACCTTGCCGTGCGCCAGTACTCCAGGTTTTATGGTCCGTGCGGACCTGCACTGTGTGTTTGGCTCCAATGAGGAAGTGCCGCCACGCCTTGAATGCTGCATGAATGGCCAGCAACTCCCTGTCCCAGATGGTGTAGTTCTGCTCTGACTTGCTGAGCTTCCTGGAGTAGAAGGCACACGGTCTCCAGTCCCCATGCGGGTCTTGCTGCAACAGTACTGCTCCCACGGCTCTGTCTGAGGCGTCCGTTTCAACCCTCATCGGTCTGCTGGGATTCACATGCAGTAGCTGCTCTTCGGACGAGAAGAGACGCTTGAGTTTCTGAAAGGACTGCTCCGCTTGCTCCGTCCAGATGAACTTCTTCTTCTTGGAGCTGAGCGTGTCGGTAATGGCCGCCGTCTGCATCGCGAACCCCTTGATGAACTTGCGGTAAAAGTTGGCGAAACCGACAAACCGCTGGACCTCCTTCCGATTGCGCGGGCTCTTCCAGTCCAACACTGAGCGAACCTTGGCGCTGTCCATGGCGAGCCCCTTGTCCGACAACTTGTAGCCCAGGAAATCTACCTCCTTCATGTCGAACTGGCACTTCTCCAGCTTGGCGTACAGCCTGTGCTCCTGCAGTCTCTGCAGAACTTCCTTGACGTCTCCCTCGTGGGTCTCCTCTGATTCTGAAAATATCAGGATGTCGTCCAGGAAGCAGACGCATTTCTTGTAGAGGAGACCCGCCAATACGTGATGCATGAAGGCTTGAAAACAGTGGGAGCCATTTTGTAATCCAAAGGGCATAACTCTGTATTCATAGGTGCCCAGGGGCGTGAACATGGCAGTCTTCCATTCGTCGCCCTCCCGTATGCGAATCAGGTTGTACGCCCCTCGCAGATCCAACTTTGTGAAAACGCGTCCTTTCCTCACCGTTGCGAGCAGGTCATCTATCTTGGGCATGGGAAAGGCTGTGGGCTTGGTTTTCGAGTTCAAAATTCTATAGTCCACCACAAGCCTTTTTGGGGCGTGTCCTTCTTCTTCACAAAGAATACAGGACTGCCCCCACTGCCTTCGACTCCTGGATGAAACCGCGCTTCAAGTTGAGGTCTATGAACTCCCTGAGTTCCTGCAGCTCGTCTTCAGACATGGAATACAGTTTCCCGGTTGGCAGCGTCGCCCTGGCAGGAGGTCAATCTTGCAGTCATAGGACCTGTGGGGAGGTAGCTTGTCCGCTTCCTTCTCGCAGAAAACCTCCAAAAACGCTGCGTACTTGAGTGGCACTGCTTGCAGCGTGCCTAATTGTAGCTGCGGGTCATCCTCTTCCCCTTCCGGGCTAGGCAGAATGCAATGTTCCGCACAGTATGAGGAGCCGAAGGTCAGTTGTCGCTGGTACCACGCCAATGCTGGGCTGTGCCTGTGCAGCCAACTCATGCCTAATACTATAGGCGTGTCCGACAGTTGGGTGACATTGAAGCTGATGACTTCTCGGTGATTCCCAATTTGCATCATCATCGGAGGCGTTTGCTGCACCACCTGCCCCCCCAGCAATTCCCTGCCATCCACCGTGACAACTTTCAGAGGCAGCGTGGCTGGCAGGAGTGCTATGTTGTGCTCTTGAATGAAATCCAGTCCTATGAAGTCTGCGTTACTACCAGAGTCAATGGTAATCGGCACTTCCATAGTGAGTCCATTGGGTAGTTGGAGCGATGCTGTGAGCTGCACCACTGGTTTGGGCGGGAGGGGTCTGTGGGCTGCAAAATCTCTGGGGACGGCTTCATTGACTTGTCTGGCTGGGCCCCAGTGCCTCTTCCTCCAACCAGACTCTGTCGTTTCCCTGCTGT